CCCCCCATCAGTTGTGGTATTTCCTTCCTGTGATTGCTGGTCTCCTGGCATGAGGAACCCAAGTGACCATGCAGCAGCCATAGCCTTAAGGTTAGTGGAACTCTTTGTCTTCATCCAAGAATCAAGACCTGTAGATCCACAGAGCCTGAAGTTGCAATGGCTAGAAGCCCAAATTCCCATGGTCACTGGGAGTGATGGTGGGCATGGCTAATCCTGCTTGGTTCCCAAATCCATGTGTTCTACCTGCTGGGACACAGCATCACACAAAGGCCATTGGTTTAAGGAATACATAACATCCTGAAGAATGCTGCCGCATCCCATAGGGTGCCATCTCCAAGCTAGTGATGCTGATGCATCAGCTGCATCTTTAAGGGGCCCCATTCCATTGCCTTCTCAGGTCAGCATCTTCCAGATGGTATGGTTTGTGTAGGAGCAGTGGATCCCAAACTCACCTGACCACTGCTGAACTTCTACGCAAAGTGAGTCCCTCATGCAGAAGAGATGTTATGTTTTCCTACCTTTGTGAATTAGACACCCTGAGCCCTCAAAGTAGTGCCAGCCAAGGCCGCAGAGTGCTGATTCTCCCTGTGGGAGACCACATAACACCACCTTGGGCAAAGGGACCCACTTCACTAGCCCTCAACATAGGGGATTAGTGTGATATTTTGTAGAAAATCTGGATGGTTCAGATCCTTTTAGGCTATGTTGTGACAGAGAAAAGGAGCATTAACATAGCCCTGGAACAAGACCGTGAACACACACTATTGCCAATCCCAAATAAATACAAACTGCTGCTGTTTCTTCTTCCTTATAGGTATGGAAAAGAACACATTTTTTCACATCAATATCTGTATAGCATGTACCATAGGCTGTATTAATCTGCTCTAGTAAAGATACTCCATCTAGCACCACAGCTGCAAATGGGGCTACAACTTGGTTAAATTTGTGATAATTCACTTCCATCTACCAGTCATCAATCAATTTTTTCAGGGACAAGACTGGTGAATTAAAGGGACATATGATGGGAACCACCAGTTCTTCACCCTTTAAGTCTTGAGAGTGGCACTTTGAGGATGCCCCTGATTTGCAATATTGCTTTTTATGTACTATTGTGGCTTGGGAGTGGGTAGGTTGGGGGCTGATTTCACAGGCTTTGACTTGGCTTTTCCTACTATAAGAACTCTTACCCTATAGGTCAAAGAACCAATGTTAACTACAAAGCAGGTCCATTCCAATTATATATTCAGGAATTCAAGGAAATTATCAATAGGTGGTTCTATAAATCCAGTGAACTCACTATGAAAGGGACCTGGTCCAGCACTCCATTTATTCCCTGACCCACATACACCCCTATTCTAACAGGGGCACTCTGAGGGCACTTTGGGTACCTGGTTATCAGCATCAACTCAGATCCTGTATCCACTAACACTGAAAGATATGGGTCTGTCCCCTCTCCCAATAGACAGTTACTAGAGTAAATAACCATAGATCTCTTTGAAGAATGAGTAAGAGAATCACACTTGCTGTGATGTTGAAGAGCCCTTCCTCACCGGGACCCCTCTCATTCAGTCAGGGGGTTCTGAGTCTGAGAAGTGGCTCTGATCTAGAAGCTTGGCAAAAGATCATGTCTTTCCACGGGTGCAGCTCACCTCAGCCTTCTGCTCATTCATACTTGCTCACTTGTGATTATATATATTAAACAATGCTTTTGTTGACTGATGATCAGTCTTGCTCCTAAGAACACCATGTTCTATTAATCATCTCCAAAGAAGATTCCTGTGGGTCAGTCCCCCTTGTCTCTCATTCCAGCCTTGCTGCCTAGTATAATAATTATACCCATCTTGCTTTCGAGAGTTAAATACCACTACTCAGATTTCCATAGCCTGGACTCCTACAGCCACATTGATAATAAGGAACTCAGTTTTGTAATATTTAATAGTGTATAGTACACCTTGTACTAGCCCACAGAGGACAGTCATACCCAGCTTCTCAGTGATGCTGGTGGTCCCCTCCAGTTTATTCCTGTTATCTTGGTGGACGGAGTGTCCTCCGCTCCTCCCCCACCAGGAACATGTTAGCTGGTGGGTTTTCTGGTCTTGTACCTAAAATCCATCCTAGCATCCCAACTTCTTTGAGCCTTGTATCCTCTCTACAACCTGCTACAGCAGTTCTGGCATTTCCACTTCATTTCTTATGGACCATGACTGTGGCCAAGCTTCCAACAGTTACTCAAGTAACATATTAGATCCATTTCCCAGGGGCCTTGCGAGGCTACTAAATCCTATAGCACAAGTGGCCCCAAATCTACAAACTCCCCCTTATTCAGTTTCGTATTCTGCTCCTCAGGATCCATACCCAGCCATTCCCTCCCAGTTGCTAGTAGTACATGTTAGCCAGATCCCACAGCAACTTTGGTTATAATCCCTTTCAAAGATCCAGTACTTTCCCACTCCAACATGCTGAGACTTGACCCTAATTATTGGGCAAGTGGCCAGGTGGGGTGGCACAGGCAGATCCTGAGGAAGACATGCATTTTTCTTATAAGCCTCCTGCATCCTTCGAGTTTTCTACATTGTCTGCAATGTGGTAGAAGTAAAATGGTGGCTCTATTTTCCAATATGAGCAAGTGGGTTCTATCTGTAGTCTAAGAGTGCTAAGGAGAACCTGAGGCTTAAGGTTCTCATATGCATGAACCCATGCACATGGGTGCTTCCACTGCTTCCCTGTGAGGAAGCATGCCTCTGCTCCCATGGAGCCTTCTTGGACTCTATGCTGGAAGTAGCTCTCCTCAATCTGAAGTCCATCTGAAAGAGAAGAGTGGGGCATGAGTCACTACACCCCTCCCCTTATCCCTGTGGCACAGATCAGTGATCTTCAAATCTCACTGTGCATAAGTATTACCTGGGGAGTTTATTTAAGGTGCAGATTCCAGGGCCTGACCCTGGAGATAATACATCAGAGAATCTGGGCCTGGACAAGAAATCTGCATGTTTGCATAGGTAATTTACCTAGGCTGATACTTTGGCCTTCTCTGAAGTTCTGCAACTCTTACAGTTAAGTCTTGTGACTAGTCTTCAGCTCTTCCTGCCCTTAAGGAGATGAGCATCTCTTTAATGAGCATATATGTCCCCAAAGAGGCCCTGTGATTCTCATACTTTGCTTTAAATTGGTGATTGATTATCCTGAGCCTGTCATTTTCTTTCATCAAAGACATTCAACAACAGCAACTCATTTCCACAGTCCTTATAATTACTATGTCTCCCATATCTTTCAATGCCAGAAGTACTGCTCACATCAGTATTTCCTCCACTTCTCCTTTTATCTTACACCAGTTCTCCACAGGTGACAGTTTTAGCAATCACACCACTACTGCATGCCAGGGATCGTTAGTACATGTTGCATACCAGGGTCCTCATTGCCAGCTGAACAGTAAACTATCACCTCCAGAATTGCATCTTAGGATCTACTTTTAGGTAAACTAGTATCAACTGTTTCAGGTCAGGTGCCCTAGAAGCAGAGCCTAATTCAGCTGCATGTGATTTATTAAGGAAGCATTCTTCAGGAATACTCTTTAAGGCAGTGAAGGAAACAAGACAGGAAAAAAGGGCAGAGTAAGAGGTGGTCTCAGGCAAAACAAACCTTGGATTGATCCTCAGAGGAGCTCAGAAGCATAAACTGCAGGCCAAGTCGTCCTGCCCTTTGAGGCAACAGGGCCAGCCTTTTATACCCTCGTATCATTGGCTATGAGTTCCCTGAGGGATGGGTGTGGAGGTCCAGAAGATGTGAGAGAGCAGTTCTCCAGAGCAAGGGTCAACTGTGAACTATTAGCAGCATGCACATAGCAACTGGGGGGTGGGTACACCCACCAGGTAAAGGGGATCTGGGATGGGAATGTAGAGTATCTACTGCAATTTTGAGAGTTTGTCTTCACTGTTTGAAAAACATTACATATGGATGACTTTACATATGCCTGTCTATTAAAACCAAATTTGGTAGAACAGTTGCTTATTTACATTTCTCTCTTTAATGTAAGATTCTAAACTCCTCTGTGGCAGGGGCTCTATCCTTTTTATCTTTGCATTCCTAATTCAGAGGCTGGCACTTAATTGTTACTAAACAAACATCAAATGAAGAGCAGTTTGGTGTGGATCATAGAGCAACTTGAACTCCAGGCTAAGTTACTTGGGCATTATTCTGTTGGCAGTTAGAAAGAGTTTGAATTGCTTTGTTGGCAGAGGTATGTATTCATAATATGTATTGGACCAGGGAGAGAGAGGAGAGCAGAGCCAAGAGACTGTTGCAGCAGCACAGGCAAAAGAAACTAGAGAAGGAATTTGAGTGGAGGCTGTTGAGTGTGGCGAGGCAGATGCAAAAGTAATTAAAGAGGTATTATCTACGGGGTCCAGATGGCCTCAGGCTGACGTCCAGTATAGAGACCATCAGGGATTCTAATCAATTGAGTGTGTTAGGAGGTTTGTACTTATGTGCCCCCAAGCAGATAGAAGAGGAGCATTTCTCTCATGTTTGCATAGGAGAAATATCTAGAAAATAAATCTGTGTGGGTTTTCTCATTGTTATGCACAATTAGGCAAAGTCTGTAAAGTAGGCCTGGGACTATTCTTTTCCTTCCATATTTTGGCCAGAACCCCACCATCATATCTGAGAACACCCAAGGTCGTCAGTGTGGGATTTGCTCAGTTCATTAATACATGGGGTATTTAAAATTAAAATGGCTTCTAGTGACACTGCTTTCAAATCAGTCATTCTATACAGTAACATATGTTCCAAAGCTGCAGTTTCAGCACATTATTCTCAGCTGGATTCTGGACCATATCCTGGTTGGAATAATTTATCCATGACTCAGATGAATCATATACACGCCAGGATATGTGGGGAAGAGGGTGGTGGTTTTTTGGTTTTGGGGTGGTTTGTTTTGTTTTCCTGAATTCTTCTAGGCCTTGACTGTAGGCAAAGCTATTTACATTCCTCTCCCATCTTAGAGCTCGGTGACTTTTGGCCAGAGGCCTGCTGTTCACACTGTTTTACGAGAGCCGATTCCTGGGAACCCTGTTACGTGGACTGGACCCGGATTTGCCAGGGTTCTCCCTGGGGCTGGCTTGAGATTTGCTGTCAGCAACATTCCCTTTCCTATGGACTTCACTGTTGCCATCCGCTATGAAGCCCAGGTATCCTTGAACTCCACCTTCTTCGATGGTAAAAACTGACCAAAATATATTCTCAAACTAAATGTTTTCATTTCAGCCTTGCTAGAAAAGGTTCATCATAAAATGATGTGCAAGAAGTAGAACATCTGGAGAGCATTATAAACCAAAGGGTTTGCTAGAGATATTGAAGCAACACAGTGAGCCATATGCACACATGCTTGATCCTGGGGAGAGACGCTAAAGCTGGAGTTATTATGTATATTTATGGTACCAGGTTTAAGGAAGTGGTGACTGAATGTTTGTATAAGAACAATAAACAACTAAAATAACATGCATCCTGCACTCCTGGGAGTTTTTTTTCTAAAAATTTAATAAACCAACACATGTGCAGAGAGTCAGATTCACGGACCACGCAGCAGAGGCATTTACTTGCATTTGTATCTTGCCCTGCAACAAGAGAAAGACGAAAAGCAGACGCCCCCCTGCCTCCCACTCCCACCTCCCACCTGTCAAGGAATATCTAAGACAGACTAGAAACCAAATTAGAAAAATACTTGATCTAGAGCAGTGGTTCCTAACCTTTTCTTTGGTGATCTGAAACCCACCAACCATCTCCCTTGAAAAGTGTTTTCCACAGATGGAGGTGGGTGTGGTCTTAGAGGCTCTGAACTCCTGCTAGAGACCATATTTGCAATTCTGGATATAACATAATTCTCTATTTCTCACTTACAAATGAAAGCCAAGGGAGCTCAATGTACTTTGACTTGGTGAATATAAGAAAGCCATTAAAAAAGAAAAAAATCCATGGAGAGAGTATATCCCTGACAACTTTAAAATGCTTTTCCAAACCGTAAGGCTTCTAGAATATAGCTAATTTTCATATCTCTCTCTGTATGTGTGTGTATCTATCTGTGTGTATGTGTGTTTGCGTGTATGTATATATCCTTTAGTGAATGATGCTAAATCGTTATTATTCTGTGATCTGGGACATGATGAATTAATCAACTCTTTGGGAGACAGGGGTTGAAAATCTAGACCTGTCGGGAGGGTTAGGGTATTTCCAGGCCTGTGAGTATAGCTATAGCCAGAAACAATGTTCTTTCTGCCTGGATCACAATTCAGACACCAGAGAGTTGGGCCCAGGAGGGAACCTCTGAGACCTCTTTCAACTCCTAAGTTCTATTTTCCAAGCAGCCTGTGGGTTGCAAATTCAATGCATGTCCTATCCACTAGGTATATATGAGTGAGTGCAAAAAAGTTTCCTGTGTCCTCATGGTGATGTGCTTTCATGTCGTGCCTGTCTAGTCCGCAGCTGACTGGGCGGTCCAGCTCGTGGTTAACCCCCCTGGAGGGAGTGGGCCCTGCATCCGCAAGACTCCACAGCCAAAGCCTCCATCTTTTGCCTTACCAGCGGCTGCCAGGTACTCTTGGGACCTGACCTCAAACACTGAAGGTTTCTTGGGATTTCATTCATGCATCAGTAATTTGTATCCGGGAGCTAAGTGGGAGAGGAGAAGTATTGAAGAAGACTATATCATTTATTATGCACTTACTGCGTGCTGAACCGTGCTGTATATTTAATATCACATTTAATCTTCATAACTTGGTGAGGTAGATTTTGTCCTCAGCAGGCGAAGAAGAAATTGAGAAGAAGAATACTTAAATGACTTGCCTGAGACTCATTGCTAGTGTGTAGCAGAATCGGAATTCCAACCCAAATATCCTGACTCTAAATCCGGAATGTTCCTTTTCCAGTCCCCCAAGTGGCTTGGAAATGTGAAAAAGTAAAATGTTACAAGATTAAGAATAAAATATTCAGCTTGAGTAGTCTTAACAGCTGAGAGTCTATGAGGTAAAAAGCTACTGATTTTGAGGCCACTCACTCTGCCTCATCAGAGATTTGTGGCAAAACAAAGCATAGACACTGTTGATAGCAGCGTGACAGATAGAATGAAGGATGTCTATTCTGTCCTTTCCCCAGAGCTGTCATGACAACCCACAGCCAATAGTTTCTAAGACTTTGCTATTTGTCACAATCCTATGGAAGAGCCACTAAGGATCTAAGTGTGAATTCACTATCCAGCCAACCCACCTGTGCTGGTCGAGACCTAGACCTGGCCTCGGCCCCACAGTGGCGCCCACTTCAGGGCACAAGGAGAACGCTACCACATAGTATGGCCACTTAGGTAATATGATTGTACTTTTGTCACTGAATTTTTGCTTTATTTCTCTTAATACAGAATCATGCTCCTTCCCACATCCATCTGTTTAGAACCAGATGTACAATATTCTGTCGATGTCTATTTTTCCCAGCCTTTGGAAGGAGAGTCCCACGCTCATTCACACATCCTGGTTGATTCTGTAAGTATCACAGAGCTTTGCTTCATTCTCAACTGAGCACCGTTATAATTCTACTTTTAGACTCCCTGGTGAAGTGTTTCTGGAAAAATATAAATGTATTTGCTTAATTACAAAAGGCATCTAATAGCAATTGCAAATCTTATATAACAGTATGTCCCAGTAATGGTTTGAAGTATTCTACATAGTATTTAATTTTCACAGCAACCCTGTGATATAGGTACTATCACGATTTTACAGGTGATGAATGAGCAGTGCAGGATCACAGGGCTGGTGAGGCAGGAATGAGAGCCACACTGCCTGGTTGCAGATCCCTGCTCTGAGCCATTGCAACATGCTGACATTATAGAGCATTTAGGATAGAAATCCAACCACTTAAATTATTATCATTTTGGAAGTTCCTGTCGTATACATCCTATGATTTCATATCATTGTAATCAGAGTACTCATACAATTGCGTATATGGATTTTTTTCACTTCACATTTTATCATAAGCATTTTCTTATGATACTTATGTAGTCTTCTGATCATTTTTAGGAACCATGCAAAATATTTCTTGAGTGACTTCTTTCAGCATCTTTCCCCAGAGTTGGGCCACAGGCATTCCTTACAAACCTCTCACTCTGTGCAGCCTTCAGATCCAGGCATGTCACTGGGCAGAGATGGGGCACTCAGTAAATTGACTTAACTTATTCATCTATTACCCTATTTGCGGTCGTGTAAGTTGCTTTTGTTTTTACTACCATGTATACTTGATACATATTTTTAAATGTATTCCTTACTTTACTCAGGGTTTTATGGCTCTTGAAATAATTTGTCAAAATATTCTCTAGAAAGTATTCCCCAATTAATTTTCAGGATCATCAGAAAAGTATGTAACTACCAGTTTCATCCCACCTTAAACAGAATTGTATAGAATTGTGGGGGATTTTTAAAGGGTAATTTCATGGATAAAAATCAAATTGCTTTGTTAAAATTGCATTTTTGAATATTTGTGATAATCTCCTAATATCATGATTTAATTGGCAAACTATAGTCCAACAAAGTTTTATTGGAACACAGCCAGGCCTGTTTGCTTACATATCATGTATGGCTGCTTTCAAGCTAAAACTCAGAGTTGAAAAGTTGCACAGACACTTTATGGCCACATTTTATCAGGCAACCTTAACCAAAGGTGGTCTACGTCCTGCACGTGGAGGGCTGTGTAAGAATTTAGGTGAGGTTCTACCATATTATGGCAGAAATGAGGTAGAAAGAAGCAAACTCTTAAATGGGAAATTTAACTATCACGATTTCCCTATCCAAATAACTCATCTTCTCCACTGAGGAGCTTTAAATAGAACTGCGCTCATGAACCAACAAGTGAGTTGCAAAAGGAAGCAAATCAAATCCAACAGGTTTAATTTAGGGGAAAAATTGCTAAAAGTTGGAAACCCAGGCAAAGTAAAGAAAGGTTCATAGTGCAGAAACTAGTGAAATTAGAGAAGAAACTAATAAAGCCCTAGGTCATTAAGGGATGTTATAATAATCATGAAACTTAAATGTATAAGAACCAAGATACTTCTCATTTTAAATTCATATTCTAAATATTTTTAAACCTTATAAATTCCAAAGACTATCACTTGATACCATATTAAGTGCATCTGTCCAAATTATCCATTCATCACCTATTCACTAAGCGGACACGGGCCGGGCGCTGTGCTGGTCCTGGGGTGTGAAATATGGTTCTTGTCCTCAAAGAATTCTCAGCCTGATACAGAAGACAGACAGGTAAATAAAATCATTACAATGATGTTTGATAGATGAAATAAGCGAATGATTTAAACTAATTTTTAAATATACCATTTGATCAGTTTTCAAGCAATCATTCCCTACACATAGCCATAGAAAACCCGGGAGCCTGAATAAAAATTAATTTTTATTTTTTAATTTTTATTTTATCAGAGAGCAATCTGATCTTTGCAAACTGTCAGAAACCTCAGAAAAGGCCCCAGACCCCTGTTTCAGGTCAGATTCCCTAAAAGCAGAAGCTGAGACAGAGACTCGGGTGCATGTGATCTATTAAGGATGTGTTCCTGCAACAAGAGGAGTGAGGGAAACAGGAGAGGACAGCGGAAGGAAGGGTGTGGTCTCGCTGTAGCATGCTTCAGTCTGACCCTGCAGGGAGCTCTAGAGCAGGGTTTGCACCACAGAGTTGAACCCACCTGGAGGCAGAGGGGTGGGCCTATGTGCACCGAAGTCGTTGGCTACAGGTTCATCACCACCATCACCTGCACACCGGACCCCCAACCCAGTGAGTACATAAACTCCTGGATCAGGTGGCTGAGTGCAGTTTTCTGAAGGGGACAGCTGTGAGCCTTTTAGGAGCCAATGCCACAGCAGCTGGAGACGGGTACACCAGCCTGCCGAAGAGGATCCAGGCCGGGCACCTCCAGTGTCCACTGTAGTCCTCAACCCAAAACGTCCAGTAGGAGAAAGTCATTGCACATTTCCTTATTACAGACTGTTGTGATTAATGCCACACCACCACTTTTGCTGCTCTGGGAGATAAGACACTCGACTGCTTGGGACTTGGTCCTTTCAAAGTTCATTCTCCTCTGCAGCGAGATTAACATTTGCATCTAAGACCAGCGTATATGACAGAGAAGACCAAATGAAACCTTTGTTCAACCACGAGCGCTCTTTCTGCACAAACACCTTTTGTTTGGCAAGCATAGTGAGGGCAGTTGAAATTTGTTTTTAGTCATCCGGATTACATGCTGTGTGCTTCTATAAAACTGTGTTTAGAGTCAAAAGTATATTAGGCATTCTAGAATATAAAACTGTCATTCTTCTTTTGAAACTGGAATGGGCTACACTTGGTAAACATAAAGTACTTAGAAGTTTCTAGGAGAAGAATTGAGTCATGCATTACAAAATCCTATAACTGACAGGAACTCTTGTCGTCTGGTCCATCTGCTGAGTTCCAGGAATGGCCAGCTCCAAACTGGCTCAGACCAATAGCTGTAAATAATCTCTGGTTGGCTGCCCTTGTCCCCAGCCCTAGCCCGTCTGGCTTTCTTCTTCGTCTCTCCCCACTTGGTTTGTGTTTGGAGAATGCAGTCCTTTTAGTATCAACTTAAAGATACAATAGTAGAAATATGAATATTCTTCTTTATTGAGCAAATTTTTATGAAGCGCTCAGTATAAATTAGATATGGTAGTAGGCATAGATGTTAACAAGACATGCACCATCCCTGTCACTCTGGGGCTCACTCTCTGAAGGGGGGACACAGACAAGCAGGTGGCGACAGTGTGGGGTGAGAGGTCCTGGGAGCTGTGGCAGGGACTGACCCAAAACCTCGGTGTGACTCGTGCAGTGGTTCTCAGCCTCATCTGCCCCAGCCTCCCCTTTTTATTACAAATATTTTCTAACATTCTTTGCTATCCTGAAATGAAATTCATGGCCTACCTGTACATATGACTTCCAAATAATATCAATGTAAGTTGCTAATATTAATACAGAGGAAAAATCGAAAGTAATCAATAAAGAAATTATATGGACTTCACTGTGTATATGCACAGGCATGAATATACTAGAAGGTATAATGAAGTAGGAAGATGCTCCTAGATGTAGAATCACTATCTATGAGACAGCCATGAAAGCAGCTGTGTTATAAACAAGTTTACATGTTAAAAAAAAATAGAGTCAGGTTCCCAGCTCAGACAATCAGCAATAAGATTTTTTTCTCCTTCATGGATATTCAATGAAACATTCAAAATCTGTTGGGGACATTCTGTTTCGTGAGAATGTCTCACATTTCTGACTCCCACCTGCTAAATTCCAATACTGAACACCACCCAATCACTGTGACAACTAAAGCCACCCCCACGAATTTCCAAAATGCTCCCTAGGCAGGTGGTGCCTCCCATATTGAGAACCAGTGACCTAAGAGGATAGGAGGAAGGAGAGGAGAGCATCCTCTTGGCTTAGATTTTATCCTAAGGCAATGGGAAGCCATGGAAAAGTTTTACGATGGGGATTATCTGAACAAACTGCATTTAAAAGGATCACCATGACTATGGTGTAGAAAATTGATTGGGAGTGCAAGAGTGGAGGCTGGGACATCTGTGGGGCTGCCACTGTAGTAACGCAGGTGGCCTGAATTCAGGAATCGGCAGGGGAACAAAGCAATAAATGCCTCCTAGACACATCTAAGAGGTAGAACTGACCAGGCTGTGACTGATTTGATGTGGGTGGGGTGTGGGTTTGGTGGTGAGTGCCGACGGCAAGGAGGCAGGTGTCAAAGATGACCACCCTCAGTTTTCTCCACTGAGCAGCTTGGCAGAGGGTGGCACAGAAAGGAAAGCGGGTTTGGGGCATGTTTGGTTTGCGGAGCCTGTGGGGCAGCCAGCAGGCAGTTAGCTCAGTACAGATCTGGAGTGTACCATGGAGAGGTGCGCAGGAGACGTAAATTCCACCTACAGATGGCAGCACGGTGTTGCCAAGGTCCCCCAGGAGGTAGTCCTGGAGTAAGAAGGGGGCTGATGAGAGAACCCGGAGGGACCCCAACATTCAGGGATGGGTTGGGGCAGATGTATTGATGTGAAGAGTGAGCGGGAGAGGAGGCAGCAAGAAATAATTTTTCAAGAAATTTGGCTGTCAAGGGGGAGAGATGGGGGTGGTAACGGGAGGGACATGTGAGATCAAGGAGGTGATTTTGCAGATGGGAGAGACTTAAGCCCATTTAAATGTCAGCTAAGAGGCAGAGAGCAAAGAAAGAAAGCATTGTGCACAGAAGAGTTTCTGGAGGGCAGAGGAGAGAGCAGTGGGACACCTCTTCCACTTAAGCACTAAGAGCCCAGGACAGGTGGTAATTCCTGTGAGACTGGAGTCTGGGAGGCAGAAAGGAGGCACCGGTCCCTTTGCTGGGGTCTATTTTCTCTA